TCAGAGGAGCTGAGTAGGACAAGAAAAGAGCTGGTTGCTGGTATTAAGAGGGCCAAGGCCACATATGCAAAGAGGATCGAGGGTCAGTTCATCTCACAAGACCCTCGGAGCATTTGGAGGGGCATTAAGTGCATAACAGATTATAAAGGAAGGAGTGAACAATGCCCCAAAGACCCATCTCTGCCTGATGCCCTCAACAAGTTCTATGCACGCTTTGAAGACCCGAACAGACCACCCAGCACCAGACTCACCTCACCACCGGACGAAGAGCATCTCAGCGTGACCTCAGCAGAAGTAAGGAGTACCTTGAGGAGGATTAATCCGCACAAAGCAACTGGCCCAGACAACATCCCCGGAAAAGTGTTGAAGGAATGTGCTGATCAGCTCTGTGAGGTGCTGGCAGACATCTTTAACACCTCACTTACCCTGGAGACAGTTCCCACCTGCCTGAAGACTGCCACCATCATCCCAGTCCCAAAAAGCTCTACAGTGTCTGTTCTGAATGACTATCGGCCAGTGGCCCTCACCCCGATAGTCGCTAAATGCTTTGAAAAACTGGTCATGACTCGCATCAAAACAACCATCAACATCAACGAGGACCCTCATCAGTATGCATACCGTGAGAACCGATCAACAGAGGATGCAATCTCCTCTGTGGTCCACACTGCGCTCAACCACCTGGAGCAGAAAAACTCTTGCGTCCGTATGCTCTTTGTGGACTTCACATCCGCCTTCAACACCATGATCCCCCAAACCCTGATGGACAAACTATCCACACTAGGACTAAGCCCCTCCATCTGCAACTGGGTACTAGACTTTTTAACAAACAGACCACAGTTAGTGAGGATCCACAACCGCTCCTCCTCCACCATAACCCTCAGCACTGGCTCTCCTCAGGGATGTGTGTTGAGCCCCCTCCTGTTTACTCTGCTCGCGTATGATTGTGCAGCTACCCATCCAGGCTGTCACATTGTAAAGTTTGCAGATGATACAGCGGTGGTGGGATGCATCACAAACAATGATGAGTCCAGCTACAGGCAAGAGGTGGAACACCTGGAGAGCTGGTGCAGAGAGAATAACCTTCACATCAATGTGAAGAAGACAAAGGAGATGATTGTGGACTTCAGAAGGAACAAAAACACCTACACCCCCCTGAATATAAGAGGATCTGCGGTGGAAGTGGTCTCCAGCTACAAGTACTTGGGTGTACACATGAATGACAACCTCAGCTGGAGCAACAACACCACCAGCCTGATCAAGAAAGCTCATCAGAGACTCTACTTCCTCAGACGGCTGAGGCGAGCTGGTCTGGGAAGCTCAGTCCTCACCTCCTTCTACAGGTGTGCAGTGGAGAGCATCCTGTGCTCGAGCATCAATGTGTGGCATGGAGGCTGCACAGCTGCAGAAAGAAAAGCTTTGCAGAGAGTGGTGAAGGCTGCACAGAAATCTGTTGGAATCAGCCTCCCCACCATCACAGACATCTACACCTCCAGATGCAGGAAGAGGGCCACCTGCATCATGAAGGACCCCACTCACCCAGCACACACACTTTTTGCCCCACTCCCCTCAGGAAGGAGGTTAAGGAGCATTAAGTGTAGAACCACTAGACTGAGGAACAGCTTCTACCCTGAGGCTGTTAGACTCATGAATCTCTAACTAGAATAATCACTGTGAAAAACCATATCATGTTGCTGCTGATCTGTTTCATGTTGCTGCTGATCTGTTTTAATGTTGATGTGTTCATGTGTGCACATCTGCTCACAGACTCATGTTCATGTTTGTGCTGATGTTCAATGTTTTATGTTATGAGTGCTTAGTGTATATTTAGTTGATGTTTTTCTTAGTTCATATCTTAGATGTTATTACTGTTTTTCTTATACATTTTATTGTTGGATGTAACTGGGACCCTGTGTACATAATTTCGCTCCACCACATGTACCACATGAGGTGCGAATGACAATAAAGAAACTCTGACTCTGACTCTTGTAAATGGGTCCTTGAGGCTCAATGGGATTTACCTGTCTATATAAAGGTTGAATGAATGCATCACTCAGCCTCCTGTGAATAGTAAACAGCCATCAGTGTGTTAATGATCCATTGTTAGGCTGATGGTCCTTTTTGACCATGTTAACAGCTGGTTTTGGTTGTCAGCAGCCAAACGTTGGTTACGTACTGTAACCCCAGATTCTATGAGTATAGGCGTAGCCCTTTAAGGCTGTCGCTGATGGGTTTATCCCGTTATGCGAAGCATCACACTGAAAAAATTAATCCCCGCCCACCTGTTGTGTGGGCCCCACCCGATCCGTATAAGTTACGTTAAGAGCGGGTAATCGGCTCCCAAATAGCTTTATTTTTTCTTCAACCATTTAGGAGCCAGTGAGGCCCGGCGCTTAAAGGGCTACGCCTATACTTATAGAATCTGGGGTTATAGTACGTAACCAACGTTCTATTTCGTATAGGCTTCACCCTTTAAGGCTGTCGCTGATGGGTTAAGGGCGAAGCGGATGTTGTCCTCGCCTCACTGGGTCCATTCGAACACCGTATGAGACAGAAGCTTGCCCACAAAAACGTCTTGTCACTCAGCTCCCCATGTGCATAATTACGCATTGCGTAGTTGTGTGCCATGCACAGACGCATGTTGTCATGTTGACAACAGACGAGGAGGAAAATATTTGCCTCTGGGCAATAAAAAGACAAGGTGGGACATGAAGACGATGGACAGCGAGAAACATTTGTAATATTTTTGAATGGATTCTAGCAGGTTTGATGAGTTGGGCGCTTGCCTCGTTTCTTCAACACCAGGGCGGTGCACACCTGTCAGAGTTGCACAGAGCGAGGCACTTGCTTTGCGCACCATGCGACTGGTTGCTCGGAACAGAGAGTTGTTGGTGTCTCATACACAACAGCTGGATTTAAATTCCGTCACCGGGCAGTTTATTGTGTGACACAGAGTCATTAAAATGTATCTGTGCAAACATGTCCTGTGGACGTCCGCATTGAGTCCTCTTATAGTATGTTTGGAGTGAAGTACGCCCAAGTATGTTGGGACCTTTGTCAACTCCTGTGTACAGCGCAAACGCCTAAAAATATAACTTTAGAAAAAGAAAAATACAGTTTATTAAAATTTAAAATGTTGGTTCTAGACAACCTTGTATTTACCCGTTTTCTGGAATAAGACCAAATTGATCTCAAAATTTTTTAGCACAATTTACTGCATGAAAACAACCAAACTATGCTTAATTTGCTTTCCTAAACTTCCAGAGCGAATGAAAAGTGAAATGAAGCAGTGATGACATCTGACACCTTGAAGTGAGGACAGAGTTGAAGGCGGATGACTCACTCCCTGAAGAGGGAGCAGCTAAAGAATAAAACATGATTATATCATTTGAAAGTTCCTCTAAGGCTTTCAATTCAAATAATTTGTTTCAACAAATTTTTAACATCCCAACATTTGTCCAGCACCTCTGGTGTCAGCAGTTGATGTCTTCCTATGCAGTCAAAACAGTTTGGTAGAATTTAGTCGCAGCAGTCTGGGAATGACTAAATAATTTCCATCCATCATCTTCCTCTGGTTTTGAAGTCACATCTCGGGGCAGCAGCTTGAGCAGGGAGGTCCAGACATCTCTGTCCGCAGCCACCTCTTCCAGCTCTTCTGGGAGGACTCAAAGGTGTTCCCAGGCCAGAGAGACTAAGTCTCTCCAGCGTGTCCTGGGTCTTTCCCGGGGTCTCATCCCAGTTGGACGTGCCCGAATCACCTCCCTAGGGAAACACCCAGAAAGCATCCTTACCAGATGAACCACCTCAACTGGCTCCTCTCGATGTGGAGGAGCAGTAGTTCTATTCCAAGTCTCTCCTGATAACTGAACTTCTCACCCTGTCTCTAAGGGAGAGTCCAGCTACCCTGCAAAGGAAACTCATTTCAACCTCCTGTATCTTCGATCTCGTTCTGTCACTACCCAGAGTTCATGACCATAGATGAGGGTAGGAACGTAGACCGACCAGTAAACAGAACTTTGCCTTATTGTTCAGATCCTTCTTCACCCCATTGGACCGGTACAGATTCCGCAATACTGCATATGCTGCACCAATCTATCTGTCAATCTCACGCTCCATTCTTCCCTCACTCGTGAACAAAACCCGAGATACTTGAACTCCTCCACTTGAGACAGAACCTCACCCTCGACCTGAAGAGAGCAATCCACCCTTTTCTGACTGAGGACCAACCAACAATTATAATACTTTAAGAACCTTTTTTTAAACCTTTATAACCTTTTCTGTCTGGGGCCGAGATGGGTAGAGGCAGAGCAGCTGATTTGGGACCGGACAGTCCCAGGTTCGTTCCCCAGCCATTCCCACATGTCATGGTGTCTCTGAGCGCAAGACACCCAATCCCCAATTGCTCCCAGGCGTCTACATAGCTGCCCACTGCTCCACCTTGTTGTATGTCAGGTGTGATGTGTTAAATGCAGAGACTAATTTCACCATTGTATGGGAACAGACAATGATGACATCACACTGCACTTTACTTACTTTTTGTTGATGCTTCTCATACACCTTTGTTTAAATTGTGCTTCCAAATATATTAGTTTGAAGTGTCTTAAAGTCGTATTTTTTCCACATTTCTTCTAGATCCAAACATAGACACACATGGTGGAAATGTATGGATAAGGGTTGAATAGTCTGCATCGAACAAATGGACACATGGCATAAATATGTTTAGCGTTTTCTGCCACAAATACTTTTCTGTCTTGCGTAACCAGCCAGTTTGGCTACAGATCTGCTTTTTATTTGATAAACTGCAGCTTCGGCTACAGAAAGATGTCTGTTCTGTTACTGTTATACTGTGAACGTTGTCATCTTCTTTTTAAAGTTTCATTTATTAAAATGTCCTCATTGTTGTAGAATTCGTTTAAGATAATCCTGTCCCTCTGCATGTCACCTCAACTGGTTTTTAGTGAACCCTTGAGAGGACTTGGTCTAATCTTTGGTCTTCCTCACAGCAGAATGCCCAAATCAAAGGAAGTGCTGTCCTCCACATCCGGAAGTGACTCCGACAGTGAAGTAGAGACCAAGGTTTGTGCTCTAATACCAACTTAACAATTAACACTTGTTCCATGTTCTTTAACTATGTAAATGAAAGGTTTTTGTACTGTTGCCAATCACTGATCCACTTCAAACAACGAACAAGTATGGCCGCACCCGTTAAGTGGTTTACTCAGATTTGTTGGCGCAAGATTTTTTTCTTTTGGCTTTCCTTCTTCAGGGATTGCCACAACCAGCAAACTCGGAGGAAGATTTTGCAGTTGTTTTTACGCTGCATGCCCTTCTTTACTCAACCACTGAGCTACCACAGTCCACGTGTGGAGCAGAGGGCTACCATCCAAGGTGATGGGGGAAAATTAGGGTGGAGGCAAGCATGGGTGCCTCACCTTTTCCACCCAAATTTTGATGTAAAAGTCAGGATTCAAACCTGCCACCTCTCGTGGAGTTTTTCATTCTCCATTTGCAGACATTTCTGATAGAAGGGTTGTTTCTGAAGAGTTCAGTGACATTCATAGATATTTTGTGTTTGCTGGACATTCCACGGTCGCCTGTAAATGGAGATGTTAGAAAGTGGAGGGGTTTGGATCAATACTAACTCAGCCATGGAGTAAAACACCGTAAAATCACATAATGAATGCTAACGTGCACGGTGAGAAAAGTGGATAACACTGCAGGCAGGTCTGAACCCCCACTGGAGTTAATGTCTGCAGAAACCTGCAGCTTGGGCATCACGGAGAGGCTTTATATGGCAAGCGCTATGTCTGTAGCATTTTAGTTAGCGCGTCTGTATTGGGCGCCGCTAGCATAGAGCTATGTCATTGCCAGCTGTTGTCGACAACGGGGGCGATATGGAGCTGTGGGTGACAACACTTCGGTAGGCAGGGCACTTGCTTCTGTTGACAAGGTGGGGTGCCCTGCTTGGATAACGGCAGGGGGAATGCAGTTTGTATTGGGGGACCACCTGTGTAACGCTCAACCCACATGAAAATCTTGCACCATACATATGAAAGAATTAACTCGTTCTCTGTTCAGTTCCAGTCCAGAAAAACACTCCTCTCCAAAACTAGAAACATTCACTTTTCTAATCCCTCATCAACAGGGGACACTGGCATACCGCTTGTTTGTTTGCTAAGGATGATGTTATGTATTCATGTATTATTTTTTGCTCATGACTATTTTTAAAATCACTTTTCTGTGTGAATTATTTGAGTACAAATCAAGTGGCCTACTAACATTACCTAGGTGTACTTCTGTGTTAGTTGTTTTCTAAACTTCAGTCATCTGACAGTTTTCAGACTCTACAACCATGTCTTTCATTTTCTATTACTGGTGATTCTTCCTTTCTGTCTTTGATTCAAAGCAGCTTTTCCCTCATCGACACAGTTAGCAACGTATCATCAGCCAGTTCATGTTGGATGTCCTCGTTAGATGGGCCCACCTGGATCATGATTATTTCTTTTTTTTTTTTTTCATTTCATCTTTATTTAACCAGGCAGAAACACTAAGAACAGATTCTTTTTTTTACACAGCTGGCTTGGCAGAACCAACAGGTACTTGTAGGTCCAGGGAAGGGAAACAATACATTTAGGCAAAACAATAAAATATAGAAGTCAATAACAAACAAGGAAACACAAATTACATTAACAGTTCATTGTCAAAGTTACACAACAACATTGCTAAGCATGAAAACGTTTAAAAATATCTTTCAACACAGCTTTTAAACCATTTTTAAAACTAAAAGCTGAGACAAGTGAGGTCAGACCCAAAGTTTTTGAAGATTTCAGTCCGAGGCAAAGCCAGACTTGAACTTTAGAGTTGTTCACCACAAATACTGAGAGGATCAGGTGTTATACTTTAAAATCAGTGCTAGTTGCAGTAGATGGGTTAAACATGGAGGTGAAGAACCAGCAACGTCTTATAAATGAGGGTAAACCAATGAATTTCAGCACGAGTATGTAGAGAAGGCCATTTAAGAAGAGAGTAGAGGTGACAGTGATGTGTTCTGTAAGGAACATTTGTAACAAAGACAACGGCAGAGTGATAAATTGTGTCCAGGTTACAAAGAACTCTTTCAAGCACGTCTGTAAATTATGTTTCCATGATCCAACAGTTTTTTTTTTTTTTTTTACACTAGTGTGTTTTGCAGCCAGTGTAAGCAAAAATTGATTTCTATATAGATAACTAAGTCTCGCTTTAACCTTAGACTGCAAAACATTAACATGATGTGAAAAGAACAGAGCACCATCAATCCAAATTCCCAAATATTTATAAACCGTTAGCTCTTTTATAATATTACCGTTTACAGTGGTGAAGTCCACCGAGGTGGGTATGGTTTCTCCTCCATGACTGAACCACATTCATTTATTTTTCTTGGTATTTAAGGACAAATTTAAGTCTGAAAAGACCTGCTGGATTTCAAGAAAACACATGCAAGATACTTCACCACCTCTTACGGAGTAAAACCAAAAGCATATAAAATAATGTCATCGGCATCTAAATGGATGGAGGCCTCACTAACAGAATGAGAGATCATTTATAGTCAAGTCAACTTTATTTATAGAGCACATTTAAAACAAAACCTGTTATCAAAGTGCTTAACAACAACAACAACAACAATCAATGAGAGTAAAATTAAAGAGAAAAAAATTATTTATATATATATATATATATATATATATATATATA